AGAGGTTATAGGCCAAATCTTAGCTATCTCAAAGCTTGGGGATGCTTGGCTTATGTAAGATTGACAGATCCAAAAAGACCAAAGTTGGGTGCAAGAGCTGCGACATGTGTATTTATTGGGTACGCAACTACAAGTAAGGCATGTAGATTCCTTGATCTTGATTCTAATGTTGCTATTGAATCTATGGATGCTATATTTCATGAAGATAAATTTCCTTTTAAACTTAAGAAGGATGGAAGTCATGATTTTACAAAACAAAATGATTTTGAACCTAGTTCCTCAATTTCATCTCATTTTCAAAACCAAGAGGACATGGATTTTGAACCTAGGAGAAGTAAAAGAACACGTAAAGAAAGAGATTTTGGTTCAGGTTATTATGTATATAATGTAGATGGTGAACCATTGTCTTTTCAAGAAGCTTTAACCTCTTCTGATTCTGATTTTTGGAAAGAAACTATTAATGATGAAATGGATTCTTTGATTTCTAATAAAACTTGGAAGTTGGTAGATTTACCTCTTGGTTGTAAAACAATAGGATGTAAATGGGTTTTGAGAAAAAAACTTAAACCGGATGGAACCATAGATAAATATAAAGCAAGACTTGTTGCAAAAGGTTTCAAACAAAAGGAGGAACTAGACTTTTTTGATACCTTTTCACCTGTAACAAGAGTGACTTCCATTAGAGTACTTATAGTTGTAGCCGCCATTCATAACATGCACATCCATCAAATGGATGTTAAGACGGCATTTTTAAATGGAGACTTGCATGAAGAAATTTACATGGATCAACCTGAAGGTTTTGTTATGCCTGGCCTAGAGGACAAGGTATGTAAATTAACTAAATCTCTTTATGGTCTGAAACAAGCTCCAAAACAATGGCATGAGAAATTTGATAGTTGCTTGATTGAAAATGGTTTTAAATCAAGTGAAAGTGATAAATGCATATATTTTGGATTCTTCAATAATTATCATGTTATTATATGTTTGTATGTTGATGATCTCTTGATTTTTGGTTCAAGTTTAGAGGTGATTAACACTACTAAATCATTGTTAAATAAGCATTTTGACATGAATGATTTGGGTGAGGCTAATGTAATTCTTGGCATGAAAATAACTAGAAATTATGATGGAATCTTTCTTGATCAATGCCATTATATAGAAAAAATTTTGAAAAAATATAACTATCATAATTCCAGACATGTTATGACGCCTTTATCACCGAGTGTGCATTTGTTTATCCCACTTTACATGATAAAGATATTCTTAATCAAAAGGAATATGCTAGTATCATTGGTAGTTTATGGTATCTTACTGATTGCACTAGACCTGATACTTCTTATGCAATTGGAATGTTAGAGAGATTTACTAACAAGCCTAATTCCTTTCATTGGGATTGTGTTAAACACTTAATGGGATATTTATGTGCTACCGAAAATTATGGTTTATTTTATCAAAGATACCCTGCTACACTTGAAGGATTTTGTGATGCTAATTGGAACACCTTATTAGGTGATTCTTTATCTGTTTCAAGGTATATTTTTAAGATTGGTGGTGGTGTTGTGAGTTGGAAATCTAAAAAACAACAAATAATTGCAAAGTCAATTATGGAGACAGAGATGATATCATTAGCACTAGCTTTTGAAGAAACTAGTTGGCTAAGAGATTTGTTGTTTGAAATTCCTCTATGGGAAAAACCAATGCCTCTTATACTCATTCATTGTGATAGTACTGCTACCATTTACAAGGTGAATAACCATTTTTATAACGGTAAATCCAGATCTATTTGAAGGAAACATAGTATTGTGAGGTCCTACTTGGACAATGGGACTATCCACGTGGATTATATACCATCAAGTGAAAATATTGCTGATCCATTTACAAAAGCTCTGGCCAGAGAGAAGATTTGGATTACATCGAGGGGAATGGGATTGAAGCCCAAAGAATGTGGAACTTCCTATGAGGATACCCAACCCAATTCTTGAGAATTTGGGTTTCGAATGGGAAAAATGAATCATAGAGAGGTTGTTGTTGAAAGATGCATAAAAAAAAAAAAATTCATTCCCAAGATGTAGATGCATCTATCCCATAACGTATGTGTGGGTTGAGTGTTATACACTCTAATGAAATTTGTAGCTCGTTGAGTGGGGTGTCTTAGTTATGGGAGCACCCTTGACAAATTTCACCTATATGGATGTCGGAGTAAGGCCATTCCTATGAGAATAGGGCTATTCTCTAAATCATCCATGAATACCAAGATTAGGCACAAAGGCCGTAATGTGCCAGCTTACCAAGCTCAAATTAACACCTGGATTATAATGTGTGTGATATGGTCTCCTATATCCTTTGAGTAGTCCTAGTTCAAGACTTTGCTCACTAGTGACTTTGGGATAGGAATCATTGGCTCACTAAGTAGAGGTTCAAGGCATTGCTATCTCTATTATGCATAATAATCCATCCTTGCCTATATATTTCTTATTTTTTAAATTTCTTTATTTTTAATTAAAATGGAGGGGGAATGTTATAGATTTTAATTAAAAAATTGCAAACCGTTTTGCAACTCCAATCGGTTACAAATCCATTGCTCTCAAAAACTTAAATCTGTCAAGTAACTCATCAATTACAAGCTTATATTTTAATGAAAGAATCAAATGGTAACAACCATTTATTTAAAGAATTTTTTCTGTTTCATCAGTTTCTTGAATCCATGCGTTTTTGTCTTATTGAAAGGACTATGCGTTTCTGCTTTTCAAATG